GAACATCCGTGTTCCTGCTGGACCATGGATGTTGCCAGACCACAGAGTCCTGGTTAAGGGAGGTACAACCTGTCGTCCTCACCTTCCAAAACTTCCCTGCCCTGCCATGAAAGATTCCTAAGGTCTCGGCCTAACGCACAGATGGCAAATCTATTTAGCTTGTTTACTGATGTATGAATTAGTGGCTAGTTTACTTCCTAAGATTAAACATGATTATTACCAGTATAAAAAAAAATCTAATAACCAGCCTATCCTACAGATTGGCTCTCCTGAAAAACAATATTTTAAACATTTGCTGTCTCTAGTGAGAGTTATCCCTTTGGCTGATACTTAGTGTAAGTATAGATCTAGGCCCTAATATTTCAAGGATAAACTATAACTACAGTGGAGTCCAATTGGCTCTGTGCATGTAGAAGCATCTTTGTCTAGTTTCCTTTACAATAATTGGTTCTTAAACATGATTTCTTTATGAAAATTTTTACACTAGATTACTCCTTGGTTTAGATGTTCCAGACCATTCTTTGTTTAAGCATTTCTTCAGCTGTTATATATTTGCTGGTATTTATGGTATAAATTATACATAAAGGAAACAGGACAAAAAATACATCTCCAATTCAATATAATGAACTACATCTTTGTGCTAGATATAGCAGCATTATTAAAACATGTTTACTTGGTAAACGTATTTAATCCTCTGGACAGGACTCTTATTAAAGAAAACACCCATTCTATGCTTTTAGGAGGATTTCTGTGTTTTAGGGGACCATAGCACTATGCTTCCAGCTGATATACAGCAGTTATAATATTGATCCCTTTCTTAGTGCAGTCCCCTCCATAGCACAGAAGTGATGTACATTGTCCCCACATGATACCTTTTTTACCAAGAGGAAACAAAACTTTGCAATAAAAACAGGTTTAACTACATTAATTCTATCATCGGAAACACAATGTAGAAATGGATCTTAGCTGTGTTCGTTTTGATGGAACATGTTTCGCAACAGGGAGGGGACATTGAACATCAATCCATTTGTATTTGACATGTTTCAGTGGCAGCCATTTGAAACAAAATTAGCCAAAGAGGTGTCTAAATGCTCAACTAATGGTCAAAACCAGGGAAGTGGCTCCGTTCATACATCACTAGGATGAAAAATTGTCATATTTGCCTGAACTTGATATAGGTGACTCAATCCCCAGGAAACAGTCTTTTGTTTTCCAAAAACGTTTTTCTGGATTTCCCCCAGAAAAAACTATAGAGAAGCTCTTTCACAGTCTTGACACTCACTTAGATTTATCTCCAGGAAGAGTGAAATGATATATGCCACGCTCAAAGTTTCAATGTATGTTTTTTTGCTGTGGGCAAAATTCAACCCTATTGAGAGCCAATGTAGGCACTCACTTATCCCATTTAAGTCTTCAAAAGAGGGGATAGATAGAATTTAAGTAGTGGAGTGGCCCATGCTGGCCCTCTCTGGTGGGGTGAGTTTCACCCCACTGCTATACTGTATATGGCATACTGATGAATAAATACCACTCAAAAAAGTTTGCGATAATCTTTTCACATCATTGTTTAAGGGGGAGTCCACTGTTCAATGAAGGTCAAAGCCAAGCTTACTATCTGCATTATCTGAGGTTAAATTCTTCTCCTATATCTTTGCTCCAACCTCTTCCAATCACAAAGACTAGCAAATAATATTTTCTGTCAATCTGTTATGCAATGTCCTTCCAACATCTGCAAGGCCCAACACACTTCTCCAGGCAGGTTTCCTTCTTCAGACTCCTAATTTTTCAGTAATAAGGTAGAACCTCAGAATTACAAACACCTTGGTAATAGAAGTTGTTAGTAACTCTGAACAAAATTGTATAGTTGTACTTCCAAAAGTTTACAACTGAATATTTGACATGTCATAGTTTTGAAATGTTACTACTCAGAAGAAAAATGATGCTTTCCTTTAATTTTTAGTAGTTTCTATTTAACACAGTTACTCTTCTGTGTTTGCTTTTTGTTTTTGTCTCTGCTGATGCCTGATTATGTGCTTCCAAATCCAACTGAGGTATTTGGTTGACCTGTCAGATCATAACTCTAGTGCTCATAACGCTAAGGTTCTACTACAGGATGTACTACTTTATAGGGGTGATGCATGGGAGGGTCATGAATGGTCACCTGCCCTACCCTAAAATGCCTAGAGAGTGTTCAAGGGGGGCAAGGCACCAGCAGGCAGAACCAGAAGGGAAGTTGGAGCCAGAGACTTTCCTCTTCTAGTTCAAGCCATTCTGCCTGCTTGGGATGCTTCCCTGTGCAGTAAGTACAGTGGTTGCCCTCTCCCAGCTGCTGTGCTGCACTGGGCAGCATCCCAGGAGGCAGCCTGGCTAGAGTCCACCTGGGAGAGGACAGAGAGCTCCTGCCACCCCCCACTGCCAGGTAATGTGCCATGGAGAGAGCAGGGGGACGGGAGGGAGATCCAGGCTGTGGACATAAACAAGTGTGGGGATTACATTCCACCATCAGCTGGTGCCTCTTATGTCCCTCCCGGCTAGTTGCTTATGCTGCCTTCTATGAAGTCAGCTGAATTTCATTTGAATCCCTGTTTTCAAAATATGCTGTTTTTTCCAAGATATTTTCAATTTTATATTTATATTTTTACTTATACAAAATAATTTAAAAGGCCTGTTCCAACACTTGGCTAATTATTGAAAAATATAGAAAGCCTAATGCGAACAAAAAAGATATGCCACAATCTCCACAAAAGCAGGGAAGGGGAAAAGACCACTCCAGCCACAGATATCTCAGAGCACAAATCTTGGCCTTTGGTGAAATCTTGCCAACCCAAGTGCTTTAGCTTTGCAAAGTGGTCAAATGGAATTTTATATCATACAGCACTGTCATGAGCATCTGCATTTTAAGGATGCCTTCCCTTTGCTATTTTCCAGCACAAAAGCTCTGCTATTCCTCCTCGTTATGCAACTTAATTGCTGCTGTCTTAAATCACCAAATATACATAAATAATGGATTATCCACCAGAAACAGAATTCAGGATCAACTTCTACCACAGAATGTATCTTCTGCCTTTCGTTTCCTTTCCAGAGATCCACAAATATTTCAGATTTCCTATATTTTAACTAGGAAATGTGTATAAGAGAAATAAAATCCCAGTATCCTCGAGAGACATTCAGATGCTTCATTTTGCTATTTTTCCTATTTGAAGCAAATATTTTATTACAATATGTCAATAAAAACTAACAGCCAATAAAACTATTATTTGTATTGTGGGACTCTATTAAAAAAGACGGCAAGGAATCTTACAGTATTTACTTTCAGGCACAATAGTTTACAGTTCAGTAGCAGGCACATGAGACCCCTGCACCGCATGACTTTTTTTTCCCTAGCGTGGTAATAATGTGTACAGTTGAATTTTAAGGTTCAGATTTTAATGAGGGCTGCCACTCGTGTGGGTTTTACCCAGACAGCCCAGGTTTTGGCTTGTGTGTCCAGGTGCCATTTAGGGTTGCTAGGTGCCTGGGGCTTTTTTTTAACCAAAAAGTCCAGTCAAAAAGGTGCCCTGGCAGTGTCAGATCAGACGTACTGACCCAGACATCTGAAGTCCAGTTATAATTGGGTGGGTAAAGGTGCCAGGTCATTAACCTATGCCAGCTCCTGTCCATCAAAGGCTGTCTCCTATCTGCATGCAGGCTCCAGTAGCTCCCATCCGTGCCCTGAAGGAGAGGGAGCCCAGTTGTAGGGTAGAGGAAGAAGATGGAGGTGATCCAGTGAGTGACGGGGGAGGCAGTGAGAGAAGCAAGTGAGGGGGAGTGACCTTGAAAGAAGAAGCAGTGAAGGGGCAGGACATTAAAGGAAGAGTTTGAGAAGGGGCAGGGCCTCTGGGGTCTCATTACCAGCAATTAGAAAGGTATCAACCCTAGTTTTAATCCACCAGAATTTGCTGAGGGGGGATATTCAAATTTACAGGGGAAGATTAATTCATCAGGATTCTGAGAGCCCTATGCCACTTTCATAGTAGATAAAACAACTAATCAGGGATAGTGGACCAGCAGTAATAAGGAAAATATTGGATCAATTACATAGAGGGCCTAGCAAACTAGTGCACTGAATTCTAGTCTTGGGGGAAGAAAAAGATATTACCCGTACTGAATGGATATTGTTAGAGTTTAAG